ATACTGATCAGCGGATACGGCAGCTGTCAATAGACCAATTTCGATATATTAAAATTCAGCCTAAAACAATAGACCTCAGTACGAGGCTCTGGGGAATAAATACAGAGTTTGTGGGGTTTATTCCCCAGACCCTCGTTCTGAGGTCTATTGTGTTAGGCTGAATTTTAATATATCGAAATTGGTCTATTAATCATAACATGGATGTCCAATATCAAAGATGTACCTATGGTAACGGTGCTTCTCTCTTATTTTTCAAGGTCTGGGGCTTGGCATACGGGCGTTATGGACGTACGTATAGGGCTGAAAGTCACGTCCAAATTTTTGGAGATCGATGAGTTACCAATTTTTTTAAGGTATGGGGATAACAGGAGCTCCGCTAATATATACCATCCAAATCGTCCTCTCTCTCTCCCCTGATGAATAAAGTAGTCTTATAGATCTTGCCTTCAGAGTACTTTTCCACCGATTCTAAACAATAAAATTTCGACCGGATAAAGTCTGTCGCGACTAGAACTAATCAACAAATGTTATCAAAATGTAGCTGCTCCCCCGGTTATCATCCCAAAGCCAAGTCGTGTTAATAAACAAGGACAATTCCCTCAGATTTTGATAAATGCTGCCGTCGAAGCGTTTAAATTCGCCAAAATCTAACGCTGAGAGCACATAATAGCGAGGCGTAGGGCGACTGAATGGAAAGAAGTCAAAAAAAGATCCATCGGAAAGACGAGCTCACATGGCCTGCTCACACACTCACATGTTCGCCACATGTCTTATCACATGTCTTAGCATTAAACGGTACCAGTTTACTGGCCGTGACATGCCCCTGCAAAAATCAAACGGGGTGGCCATTTTGGTGTCCTTACAGGAATGTGGTTTTTTCGGCCGAGAACCGTGCACAGGGAGACCAACTCTGAAAAGCCACAGGTCAAAATTAGGTTTGCGTTCGACGAAGTCGAACGCAATTACCCCCGAGCCAAGCGACTATAGCGCCCTGGGCTAAAGCGCAGTTTCTTATTTGGGGTTAACTCTACGCGTTATCCTTATCACACTTCCTACCATCTCCGACGCTTTGTCTTTCCAGTTAGCGCTTCGATTCGAATTACCAGAATATTGTCGTAGAACATCAAGTTATTCTTATTCTACCCACCTTTATCGCTATTACTGCAACACCATTTTTCTTCTTCCGTCACGCAACAACACAACAGTAGTAATAATAATTTAATATCCCCATTATGTGACGCATTAATATTGTTACGGCAGTAAAGTCAGTAAAGCTAAAGCTCAGTGTGTGACATTTACGTTATCGGTACTGACTTCTCATTTGTTGAAAACAAATTGTCTTTCTTTTGACAAGACAAAGGATTGTGTACCTCGCTGAAGGGTCGAGAGGGGGCGTTGCAAAGAGCTCTCAACCAACTGTGTCACGAGTACTGTTCGCGACATGGTATTCAGGCACAAAAAATCATCTGTGAAGGGCAAATACTTTCTTGCGTTTTGGAATCAAGGTTTCGCGAAAATGTTAGGACTTAAATTCGTAAAAATCCTTTGGTGCTTTGGAATTCTCACCCTTGTTAACTGCAACTCTGTAAAAGGTATGTTAAATGAATGTTGTAGAGTGGTCTATATTTATATCCAGGACGACGTAACTTACTGATCAATAAAACGGCTTGTAAAATTTATGTTCTCTATATATTAAAGTACAGTAGTATTCGCTGTGAAGAGTTCAAATTAAATTTCCAGCACATTTCAAATTTTATGTATGGAAAGAAACCATCACGAGGCTTAACCTTCCGAGCTTTAGGCTTTTCCAGCCATGACGGGTTTCGTTGTGGCGAGTCCCTAGTTTTCCTGTTAATATTAACTTTAATCCAATAACATGCAATACGGGTACAGCGGTATAATAAGCGTTTGATATTCACCTATTCTTTCTTTTTCACTTTAATACAATTTTCAACGCATAAAAGAAAAATATCCGCAGACTCCAAATGATTCACTTTCACAGATGAACTTCTATTTCAAAATTGTCCTAAAAGATTTCAGATGATCGTGTATGTAATAATATTTTTCTTGTTGGGCGTTGACGGCGTAGATGTCCTTTCTGTCAAAAGCGAAATTAAAAATGTTTATTTTAGGTTAAGATGGTTTGTAAAAGCATTTCAAAAAAAGTTAAATATCTTTCTTTTAAAACGAAGAAAACATGAAAGCCGGAAAGAACTCTTGCCTTTTGTAACACAATATCAACCATCAGTGCCCAACCTCAAAAATGTTTTAATGGAAAAATGGCACTTGATNTGATATAGTTGAATTGACATGATTTTATAAGATAGTGTTGAGAATTATGTTGTCAAAATGACCAGTTTTAGCCTATCGAGCCACCTTAAAGAAATTCAATTAAATGTTGCAACTTGTCAGTGATTTATTTGGTCAATCCTTTCGGTCGAGATTTTAAACTAAACAGCCGTGTTAGCTTGAAATGAATCCTCTTTTTCACGTTTTCCGTGAGCCTCGTGATCATTATTATCATAATCTTCCCCAGTCCGTCGCTTGTTGAATCTCTTGACTCCCCTGTACAAACCTACAGCGGCTTACTGGACTAGTTATCCAATGATCAATAACTGATGATTTTTAATCCGTGAAACAAAATGTATTTGTTTGTTGCCATAATTAGAACAAAACAGCGAATTTCAATCACTGAGTTTTATGTTACATTTGTCGTAAGAATTCATTGTAAATCATCCATACAATTGCCATTCCCATATACGATGAAAATAAAATATCAAACAACTACAAGAGAAGATGAAGGGTGAAATAAGAGAGCCTCCATAGAGACCTTTATTCCCAAGGTAATCCCTATCATTTTAGTTTTTGATCATTGCCGATTTTAGAAATCCCAGGAGAGTCAAGAAATAGCTGATCCTGTGACGGGGATTTTGCTGACGTGGGCAGTGCAACCGGCTTTGCACGCATTTTTATCCTTCAAAAAAACATCTATGCAACACTCGTGATAACCCTATTGCCGGAAGAGCTGGGCATCATGTCTTATAGAAGCTTATGAAGTATTACCTTGGGAGTAAGACTTAAATGGTCGGTTATTAACCCTGTTACTCGCTTCTATGTTCCCCATATAGCTTGTCAAAATGTTATGCCCTGGTATCTTTGTAAATATTATAAATTCTTGAATGGCTAGGTGATGGAATAAAGATAACCAGTAATTAATTTTCTTTTCAATGCAGATTACAAAAAGACTTTTGCTCTCAAGTTTGTCGCACAGCCCACTGATGCAACAGTTGCCGAGAGATCAAATGTGACAATTCCTTGCAAAGCTGTTAGCTTCTCCAAGGTCACGTACAAATGGATTCATAACGGCACTGAACTGACAACCACGTCTGAAAGATACAGACTAAACGAACTAGACGGAAATTTAACTGTTATAAATATTACTCAGGATGAGTCTGGTAGATACAGGTGCATTGCAAGCAATCGATTTGGATCAGCATTGAGTTTAAAGGCAGATATACGCGTAGGCTGTGAGTATACTATTGAGTTAAATCCCCTCAGTTCGCTAACTCAACATTGAGATTATCCTGAATTACCATTAACTTACATGTGCTGATTTTCTTTTATTTGCTTTGTCCTTCAAGTTTTTGCAATGTTATATTCTTTTTATACTATTCACAATTAATCTAGAAGTCAAATTCAGATCTCATCATCGCTTGCCCCAAAATGCACTGCGTTTTGAACGGCACCACAAAGAGCCGTTTGAAAATTTTTCGTAAAGTTTTCGTACGGGGAAGAAATAACCCTTTTGATTTTATTAGGCAGTCGATCGAGTTCATAGAGTATGCGAGGTTTTCAAAATAACCATTTTTGGAATTATTGGATAAGGGTTTATTTGTTTGTTTGTTTTTTACGTTTGTACACCGATTTCAACACTCACGAATTCGGGTATTTGTGTAATATTTTTCGGGCAACAAGGTTTCAGTCCGAAGATGCCCGTTCTCCTATGCCAAAACAAGTGGCAAAAAAGTTTTAAAAAGCGTGCAACAAGAGTTGAAAGAATTCGTTTAATTTCGGGTTATTATAATTCCTCCTTCAGCTAATCATAGTATCTTGCTGCCTTCTACTCTCTTATCACTGTTGATGTTGTGTGATAAAAAAAGCCTCTCTTCGACTTAAAAAAGACCTTACTTGATGGTAAAAAGTTGTGAGCCAAAACTGTTAACCAGGCGGGCTATTCAAAGCGCACGAGACGAGACTAAGCTGAAGGCAAATAATGCTGAAGCGCTTGGTGTGTTCTTCCCTCAATATCTTTAAATAAAGTAAAACATATAAGTCATATAACTTCGTGATCTCAAGCGTCCTCGAATTTAGGGACGGACCATTAGAAAAGTGATGGGGTGGGGGTGACTTTTTCAGCTTACAAGAATTTTTTATCGTGCCCTCTGCCTCTGCCGGATTTTTTTTTGCGGGGTCAAGTCCCCTGCACGAATGTTTTTATTTTTTTATTTTTTGGAGGAGGGGCGCGTAAAATTTTCCACTGCCGTAATCTTAATCTTGACACTCTCCACAATCTGAATGCCTGGAACAGGCTTCAAACAAGGACTTATTATGTTTCACAGTCTTTTTGCTTTACTATCAACGTTATACTCCGGGGGAAACATGATTAAGTATGAGATATATCCGAGTTGAAAATGGCTTATACATGCTGTAGTTCTATTGCCTAAAATGGCCCTGTATTGTAGTTTGATGTTTAGGGAAACATAAATTTTACTGAGTGGCCGTCCACTAACAAATATGGGGCCAAAGGCCCCACTGCGCTAGGGGGTTCTGGGGGCATGCCCTTCCCCCCCAGAAAATTTGCAAAATTGAAGCGTCTTTGGTGCGTTTTCCATGATTTTCAGAGGATAAATTTAATGTATTTATCGGACTTGAATGATGCGTCGTTTACTTTGCCAAAAACCTAAAATAGATGAAACTGCACACGCTAAGCATATCTGTTGTGTAACACTTCCATGATTGTCTTTGATTTCAACGTTTGATCTTGATCTTAGGGGAGGTGTTACGGTTCGACATGTGTGTGCACATCTGTGCAGCCATCTTTATATATACATTTCAGTTGTGCAATCCTTCCTATGTGTTGAGGCTTTCAAAACATGAATCAAGCAGGATCGCTGTTTATAGCACATTGACTATCACTTCTTCTTTGCTCAATTTTTTTTTCAGTCTCCTTCCCTTGAAATAATTTTTTTTTTTTTGTATTTTACCCACCCCACCCCATCACTTTTCTAATCGTCCGACCCTTACAACAATTCCATTGGGTTTACGTGACACAAAGATCAATAGCTGTCAATCAGAGCGCCGATATGATCGTCATCAAACCTTGTAGGAATGTGTCATAATTTACTTTCATATCTTATCAGATATTTATGGCCGAAGTTCTATCAACAATACCATTACTGCCACAATGCATTCGTCTGTTCAGTTTTCCATGAACGCGGTAAGAAGCTTTCCTGAGGCACAGTTTGCGTGGAAAGTGAGAAAACAAGGAAATCATAAGCTAGACGAGAAAATTGTTGATGGAGAGAGTAACGGAAGACTGCTAATCTCCCAGAGTGGTCATCTTTATATTATTGGCGCCCAGAGAGCGGACACTGGAACTTACACATGTGTGGTGTCGAATCCATTGATTGAGGAGGTCATCACTGTTGAGTTTTTGTTGACGGTTTTAGAAGGTGAGTCTTCCTAAAGATAAACTACCAGCATTTTAGCTGTTTCCCCTTAGGAAAATAGGGACGCCCCGACCCCCCACAACTTGAATATGTACCACCGTAGATCCTCTATTAAGCCCCCCGCCGGGCACTTTTTGGGGCGCGGGCGGGGGGTTTATGAGAGAGGGGGCGGGCTTATTTAATTCCTAGTGAAACTGCTTTTTCAAACAGCCAGAAGCTGGTATCAATTCGCCATTTAACAAATTGACGTCAGTGTTTCATGCATCTGTCCTGTTATTGACCATGAATTTCGTCACAACTTTGTCAAAGTTGCTGTTGATCCACGAGGTGATAGCCGAGTGGATCCGCAGACTACTTTGACAATGTTATCACGAAATTCATTGTCAATAACAGGACAGACGCGTGAAAAACTGACCACAATTTGTTTTTTACGATAACAAATTGTCAAATTGTCTGCCCTCGCTCGTTGACGCATTGCATAAACTATAAATTCATGTGTCTCTCCGCTTATTAACAATGAAAACTAGCCAATGAGTGTGCGAGAATTTCGGCAGTTATGGTAAAAAAAGAAATGGAACGCAAAGTGGAAAAGTTCAAGCACATGAAGTTGAAGGTCATACAGCCGATGATCAGAATCAACTTTCAGCACGTGGATAAACCATACCGGATCAGTCCACATGAAGTGTTACAGTCGTGATTACATTACTAATACAGTCTATCATTTATTAACTTGATTGTGTGAAATAAGGGGCGAGGGTAGGGGGCTTAAAAGAGGGTGTCTTGATAACTTTCTTCATCGGGAAAAGGGGGGGCTTAGTAGAGAGGGGGATTATTTGAGAAGGAAGGGGGGGCTAAATAGAGGATTTACGGTATATATACGTGTACAGTTTACTCCTGTTCTCCTTACGCAGAACTGAGAAAACTTGCCAACCCCCCCCCCCCCCCCTCCCCGCCTTCAAGAAACGTTTTGGTCTTTTTACCACATCTATCCTCTTAGAATTAATGGAAGTACTGTTTCCAGCTCATACTGGAATATGTACGTGATCAGTATCTAATTTATACTAACTGTCAGGTAGTTAGTTCTCGAGACTACAGAAAATTACGTAATTCATCCGAATTCTCAGGCCTGACATGAAATACTGCTGAGTACAAGTATCAGTGATGGTAAATTCCCTGAGATCGGACTGTATTCGCAGTTTCTTTTGGAGTACTTTCGAATGATCAAGGAATTTTTTGACTGGATAATATAAATCGTAGAGTGCTTCACAAAACGTTACTTTGATATGTCACTAACAAAACAATAGCAAATTGTCTTGATATATTTAATCGTAAAATCCAGTAATTGTGCCATTACACATTTGTGTTGTACCCGGCAGACGCTGTTGACCAACACTTGTCATTTCTCCTGCCACCCGTCAGTACAGAAACAACCGCTGGAGCTGCTAAGGTGGTGTTTGAGTGCATTGTGGCAACCGAAGTGATAGGGAGCAGGTAAAATGAGTTACTTTGTTTGGCGATATAAGCTATAACTGTCACTGAAAACTGAACTGGGCGTCACGGGAGGAGTTTCAGAAGCACAAGGTGACTTAGAGTAGAGCTACTGGATGGGATAACAATCTTCATTGGTCCTCACCCTGTCACGCCTTTTGTCAGATAATTCCGAGAGATTAGCCCGTAACCATTTATATTCCTGGATGCATAAGGGAACTGAGGTATCGTTTGAGAGTAAACCAGCTGGACCAATAACACAACACAGTGATCGCGACCACGTCTCAAATGACTCGAAACCCAACGCATTCTTCTACCATCAAAGATTAAAGATCGATTTAAATTCTAAGAAAGGCTCGTCTCTTGTAATTCCATCTTCTTATCAGCCCACAGGTACCTTCCATCACATGGCACAAAAACGATTCAGAGCTAGATCCTGTTCACGACCCTAAGTACTCTTTCCCTAATGGAGGCAACTCGAGGCATAAACTCATCATTAACCAACTGGAATTTAAGGACGCTGGTTGGTACTACTGTGTTGCTTCAACAAGGTCTGACTTCATCACCTCCCCACCAGCTCAGCTAATTGTTAATCAAAAACCAGGTGTGGTAAATAAGGACTTCAGTCATATTCCGTCAGGAAAGCAGTTAGATATAATGTGTGTCATACATTGACATTAATCAGGAGTCCATTAGTAGGGGCGTCCAACCTACGTCACGGCATTTGGCATTATTTACAGACAAATTTATTTTAAGACCATTTTTGCCGGGAAAAAAGACAGGTCCGATCCGCGTGAGACCTCATCCGTAATTTCGACAAAATAAAATACACTAATTTCATCTCTAAAAACGTCTGGTGATGCGGTAGCATCAGTTAAATTCAATTTAAACTAATTGGTCTGCGAAAACGCCGTGACAGTATACATATACAAGGCAGTAGGACGCTTATCGATTATGGCTGGAGGAAATTTCACTGGCTTACTGCCATTTGTGCCATTGCTAAATACTAGTAATAGTTATCACTAAATCTGACCCGTTTTCTTTTATTTCTGCTGATTGAAAACAATGTTATTGAACATTATTTTATGAACTAAACATTTTATTTGTTTTTTGTAAGCTATATCGCTCATACTGTTCCAGTAACTTAGGCATCTTACCATGAATATGATCCAAACAATCAACTAAGGTAACTAAGCCAACGCATGATATTCTTTTCATAATACTCTCACGAAGTATTTACAGCAGAACAGTTTACCATATCTCGTTACAAAGGACGCAAAAAGTACTTTCTGGAAAAAAAATAGTTTGCCTTCATGGAGGCTAAAATTTCTTTTACAAAAATTTCACTCACTGCCAGTAGAATTTTATAGGGGAAAAAAAGGTTAAAAAATTCAAAAAGTCAAACGTTAACTACTCTGCTGTTCTAATTTGATGCTGAAACAAACCATTTGTCTTGATATACGAACAAACGTATCTCGAAAGCAGAACGGAAGTCGAATTTTTTTTCCGCGACGTAAGCAGAAGTATCGCGTTATAGTCACCATATGTGCAAATTAGAGTCAAGCTTTTTTACCTCAACGAAAACGCTGCAAAACATTTCATTTACATTTGGATCCCTGCAAAGTCACCCAGCCGTCAAATGAGCTCTACGCCACGTAGGATTACTCAATACAAATAAGCGATCGGAATAAACGAGGTGCCAAAGGTAAAACTGGCGATGGGAAGGGTATTTAGCTATTTAGTTGCAATTGAACCATTCTGGCCTCGAATTTCTAGCGTTCTTCAGAATTTCTTACGATACCTTCTGAGTTATAGCGAATTTATTTGATCGCGCTAAAATCGTCACGCAGGCCATATTGTAATTGAGGGTATTTTGACCTTGAAATGCTGCTCGAAGATGGCGAAATACGAACTCGTGGTTGAGAGACCTTGAAATGCTGCTCGAAGATAGCGAAACGCGAACTCGTGGTTACAAGAACCTTTAAATGTTGTTAGAAGGTGGCGAAACGCGAACTCGTGGTTGCAAGAGCCCGCGTTTCTTGCCCCACATTACGCAAGACCACCGTGCGCGCCTAGTTTCATCAAATCGAGAACGCTTCGCATACTACCAACACATTTCTTACTCTTTTGAAATTCCTTGTATGTATACACGCGGGGAATCCTAGGGTGCCTCCTCGGGTTTTGGCCTTTGGGCCAAAACCCTGCGGGGGCAATAAGACTTACGCCTAGCAATGCACCCTGCTGTGCGCGTGAAACCAATATGTTGCACCACTGGAAACTGAATAAACAATTGTTGGATGAGGTTTTTGTGATATCCAGAATAATCGCGCTTCCAGCAAGCCTGCGCAATATTGATTCCATTTTAGCTTTTAAATCTTGCCTTAAAACATATCTTTGTTAGCTTTTAGCCTTTAGCGCTTAAATTATGTTATTGTTAAATTTAGTCTATGTACACATTTAGTATATTTTAATATTGTTATGCGCTTTTGATCACTGAATGTTAAAAAGCGCAATATAAATTAATAAATTATTATTAAATTGTTTTTATTAAGGTCGAGGTAGGAATTATCAGCCGAAGCCGAGACTGATATCCCTTACCGAGACCTTGATTATTCTGGATATCACAAAAACCAAATCTAATAATTGTTTTATTATACATTGAACGAAAAAACAAAATTGCTTCTTCACTGACTGCAAGCAACACAAAGCGCGCGAACTTGACATTATTACCCTTAGAAATCATGCACCGCAGTCATACATGACATGATTACCCGTGACCTTGAGTGTCCTTGACATGGTTCTTGTATAATCTGTAGCTAGATGATGTCATAACCGCTTATTTCGAAAATTCACTGTACGCTTTCGGCCAATCAAAAAACATATAGTGAGTTCAATGTATAATAATAATAATTATTAGCGCCCAGAATACTATCTAACAGCTTAGCAATCACTCACAGACTATCATCAAAACAGCAGCCTCTACCAGTTGACTGATCTCCTGAGTTTGTCAGCAGTGCAAATAGGTCATAAGATTTAACATGATGGCGCTAGCTGACTTGGTTAAATCAAATCTCTGAGTAAGAATCGGAAACTTTTGGAGTACCGTAAATCCTCGAATTAGCCCCAACCCCCCTCGAAGAAGCGTCCCACCTATCGGCCAAAATTTGAAATAAGAGTGTACCCCCCGTCCCATTTTGTGGACGAGTAATGAAACAACAAAGGACGTATAGTTTTCTTCGTATAATATTAAATGTAGTTTGTGAACACGTTTAGTTTGGGGAAAAAAAATTCAAGTACTAACGGTGTCGCGATTTAAACTTTAGTATTAGCTTTTAATGTCGATAAACAGCTTGTGTTGTTGTTTACGCGCAANCCCCCCATCTTCTCCTACATTTGAAATAAGCGCCCCGGGCGCTAATTGGAAGATTTACGGTATATAAATGTTGTTGGGTTGTCAGTCGTCTTAATATGAACCTGTACAGTTCTCATCACACTGATCACTTTACATTTCAGCCCTTCCATCTTTCAAGCGGAGATTTCCTTCAGTAATCAAACCCTATACAGGAACAGATGTTACAATTGACAGCCATGTATCGGTTGGTAGCATTACTTGGTACAAGAACGCAGTAAAGATTCACTCCTCGTCCCAGAGTCCCAGACTGTCTGTGGTAACCAATGGCAGTCTCCTCGTACGTAACGTGTCAGAGGCAGACGATGGTCTTTATCAAGCCTTTGCTAGGACATCCGTGAATGAAATTAGTTCACCACCTGTTCAACTTCATGTAGTAGGTCAGTAAAATTTCTCCTTGTCCCTGACAGCTGCGACCTCCCAAAAATAATCAACTTCGTTATTAGACTGTTCAGGTACGTTATTACATTCTTCATCGTGATCATCAATGTATAAGACCATATGCGCAGTTAAGGACGAGCAAAGATGAGAGAGCTTAGTTTATTTTGCAGAGCCACATTGTAACTGTTTTGTTTTGTAATACAGCACGGAGTCCTCTGCGGCCTACGTATCCCACGACTTTGGTTTCTTCTAAAGTAATTTCCACTGAAAGTTTAACTACAAATGAACCAAGTAGAGTTCCTATGATAACTGTTCCTGCACAGCAGTCTACAACAAATGCTCACGTGACCACTAAACAGCAGTTCACAACAGGCACTCACATGACCACTAAACAGAAGTCCACGACAGGCACTCATGTGACCACTGCGCATCAGTCAGCAACAGATACTTACGTGACTACACACTCGGCTCACCAAACTACATCTACACTATTGCACCATAAGAGAACTACAGCGGGTTCAGTCGCGCCGTATGGATCTGGAAACAAAGGTGATGATGGGTACTTTGATGTTCACATTTTTGTGCTGCCTCACTAACCTTTCCCATCCAAAACTTTAAACACTTAAACTGATTTCTAATTAGTTCATTTGATGATAGTTGTGAACATTTGTTGGATCATCCTGTTAGACACATTGTTTTGATGTTAGAAGAGGAAATGACGTATTGATCGATCTTTATGTTCAAGTTTTTTCTTATTTCCTTTTTCCATTGTTTCCCAAAAGTTTCCAACCTATATTAAAAACAGCAATAGGCTATTTCCGAGATGCCTTTTGCCCCTGTGTGAGAACGAGTCTTTGTGCAAAACCATTCATATATGAAAATGTGTTTCCCCTACAGGTTTATTTTCATGTATCATGTGAAAGGTTTTGCACGAGGACCCGTTTTGAAAGAGAGGCACAAAGTTACTCGGAGTTGGTCTATTTTACATTATGTTTCATATGTCACCAGTTTTACGTTAATTTCTGTTACGTGTACAGCTTTTTAATTTAAATATAGTCGTTTCTTGGTATCTTCAGGAAAAATGCCATTGTTGCTTTATGGAACAATAGGGGGAGGTGTAGTATTGTTGCTGCTTGTCATAGTATCAGTGTTCTGTTTCAAGACCCGTTCAAGGCAAAGGTAACTAATTTCCATTTGAATATTACTATGGCGGTATACAGAAACTTTTAAATTTTTGCCCTAAATGCAGGCCTCAGAGACTGATCCTCCATTATTTCCTCGACTGAATCTAGTCGTGGGTAATACAGATGGTTAAATATTTTTTACCCACTTGGCCTCATGTAAATCATCCTGTAGAGAAAGTGATCTGTTTCGCCAATCGCGGAAGTATGATTTTTTGATACAGCGGTTGCTATAAGTTACCTCAAATGAGACACACAAGAACTTAGACTTAGAGAGATTGATTCCAATACTTTTAGTAAAAAGGAAACAAATGTCCTTGTTTCTTCTTTCTAGGTATTCGAATTGCGTGTTTTGATGTTCATACATAACCTGTTCTAATTCACAGGTTAAGACAGGGAAGCATGAAGCTAAAAACTGATTCCGAAGAGTTTGAAATGACACCAGTCCAACCCAGGTACTAATTTTACAATCTTGTTAATAACTTGGACCTAGCATTAAGGACTGTGCAATAATTACCTGGAGGGGGGAGGGGTGGAAAATTAGAGCGGGGCAAGGAGAAAATGACAACAAGAGAGAGGGGGGTTGGATGTAAAATTTAATATGTGTGGGAATGCCTTGTTTGAAAAGCTTCAGAAATTTAAAGAAGACAATGTTCGTCAGGGGCAGTATTTCCTTGAGTACCTTAAGTTTTCCTGTACTCCAACGTGCGATGAAGGTTGGACAAGAGGTGTTCCTGTCCAACGTTCTCCAGTTCCAACCCTAGATGCTACTTCGCCTGGAAAGTATTAATCATTCACTCCGGCAACGTCCACTGGAGACCAGATCGACAAGTTTCTCCCAAGTGTCCAGATAAAGAGATTGTTCAACGAGGGAAAATTGCCCTCTTCTGAAGAAAGGTCTTTGCAAAAGGTATGTTCCCAGTACAACGTGGACGAGACTGCATGTAAAAGTTATGTACAGCACGTTGAGTTCCTCGATGCAAAAGCCAAAAAAAGAGTAAGAGAAAGGAACACTCTTCAGCTTATTTCTTGGACAATTGAAAAAGATGTAAAAGCGCTTACCAACAAGCAGCTGAAACTGAATCTAAAGCAAAAGGTTCTTAAGATAAGTGGGAGCAAGACTGAGTTGATTGATCGAGTTCTCACCCACGCACGCGGGAACTTTAGTGCCAGAGATGCTGTAGAAGATCAGGAATCTCCCAATTTATGCAAAGACGACACAAGCTTAGAGTCCAGTGATTCTGATGACTCTTCAAACGACTCTTCGACATACGTCAAACAGTCATTTGAAGTGATGTTTGTACCGGAGGAAGAACTCCAACAAGTAAACTAGGTATGAGGGAATCAATGGGAGGAGACTGTTATCAAGGAGAGGGGGGGGGTTAGCCTTAATATTATCATTATTATCATTAATTTTTGCCTAATGAGAGGGGGGTATGACTTAGTTTTGGGGCATACTTCACCCATTTCCCAGCCTCCCCCCCTCCAGGTAATTATTGAACAGTCCCTTATAAGTAATTTGGCAGGTGTGACCGCCTAGTTTGAGACGTCCTAGCTAAAAACCACTAGAAAAGCTGTTGATGAATAACGTTTAGACAGTTATAGTACGTGTAAATATGTTAATACATATTGTTTGTTTTTTCTTTCAGAAATTCATCCCCTGCAAGAACCATATCAGGTAAGGAGACCGAGCTCAATTTTGATAGAAAAATCTTGTTTGAGATGATTTGGACATTGACGCTGGAGGTCATCAATTTATAGATTTTTTTTGTATCCATCAACGTTTTGTTTCTTTTTAGTGCGCAGACTAAGGAACTCTAATTCAAAGCAGGATTTACTGGACATTCACAACCCAGATGAACGCCGAATATCCTTAGATACCAATGAGAATCAATTTATCACATCACATGGCTTTCAGGATCACGTGTCAGCTCACGTGAATCCCAAGATGACTATGGGTGAGTGATTTACCAAAAAAAAAAAGAATGATTAACAAAACTACGAAACTTGCAAATGATAATTCATTCTTTTTCTTTTCTTTAGAACTTGCCACCACTAGTACATCGAGACGACAAACAACGGGCGTATTTCAAGACGAGATTCGAGTACTTATCAAAGACGAACCCGATGACTTAACATACGACAGTGGCATTGAGGAGGAGACGTCCGATGGTCTCCGAAGATCTCCCCGCCATACAGAGTTTGAAGTAAGCGAAGAAATAGTCGAATGTATTCCACTCTACCAGGCAGTCAAAAATTCCAAAAATGGCAATATCTCTTGTCAAACTGACGCCAAAAACGTAAGAGAAAAATCTGTAGACAAAACCGTCGACGAGGACCTTACTAAAGTTCCCGAGGTTGAACCATTCTACCATGTTTTGGAAGGACCTGGAGACGACTGTAGTGATACTATTCAGGCGAAGCCTGGAAATGGGAAAGCAAAAACAGCAAGTTTTTATCAACCTTTGATGCTACCTGTAACTGAGCAGGAGAATTTAACAAAAAATGTAGACACTGGACATGGCCGGCGGGATGAACTTTCATCATCAAATACTGAATTTTATCAGTCCTTGACCCCGCCACAGCATGACAACTCACTGAATGACAAGTTAGATTTGACATCAGAAGTTGGCTTAAATGAAAAGCTCGGCAACGATAACAAGGCTAGTGAGCCATCTAGAGCAAACTACCAGCCTCTTCTCCACAGGAACCTCTCTAATTTGCTTCCACACAGTGACAGGCCACTAGCTGTCACAGGGATTTATCAGCCTTTAAGAGGAAGTCCCGAAAATACAGTGCCTCTTATAAGGTCCTCTTCAGCTCCCCAAAGTACTCTATCGCATGCTCTGCCCCAGTCCCTCACCTCCAGAAACGAACAGGGTAATACAGACCCTGTTTATCAGGCAGTGGCCGATGAAGAGCGGTGCCCCTTGAACCTAGACGATCCCAACATTTCATTTCCTCCGACAGAACGGCGTTCCCCGTTAGTAAGTCCTGTAGCGCAGAGACGAACAATCAATGAACCGACATACATGGCAGTTCAGGTGGTGAGTCCCCCGCGACAGAATCGAAGAACGTTCAACAGCGAAACCGAGCCCAGGTATAGTCCATCACCTTGTAGGAAGAACCCCTCCACTCTGCAACGTCCAGGCTCCAATGCTCCTAGGGGCCACCGACGAAATCGTAGTGAAGGTGGTCGTACTTTGTCTGCAACGGTTAATCCCTCGGGTGGAGCGAGATCGAGTCCTCCTGTTGGTGCACGCCCCCCTATCGCCTTGCCTCGTCATCTTGGCCATCGTCGGAATAGGAGCGATATCGGACTTTGTCCCATTGATCGCACTCAAGAGCAGCTATCAAGGCGTTTGACTTCAACCAGTGACAGTGGGATTCCACGCACGCCAAGCCTTGGATCACCAGGAACGCAAGAGTATCCGAGATCTGCTAGCGATACGACACACTGTAGGGTTCATATCGGACCTTAGTAGGCTGACATTACAGTTTGCTTTTGATCTTTAGGATCCAAAGAGTCTGGAATGTGTTTCTCCGACGAATCTTTACGCTAAAACAAGTACCAGGAAGACATTATTGCTTTATAACATCAATTAATAGTAAAAATTAATTGTTCGAAGTGCATTTTTCTTTAAATGAGCGACTGACTGATTTTTGGTCACTTAATTAACAATGGAAATTATCTAAGAAACTAAATGATATAACACGCTCTCTGATTGAAAAGCAAAAGGTTTCACACGTCGCTATTGTAAATATGGCTGTAATGTTTAATTTCTCTCTTGAGAAATAGAATTCTGCTGCTGAGTGCAACTGCCATCTGCAACCCGGCAGTGTAATTTGGAAACTTGAAAGTCTTAATTCGCGCTTTTCAGTAACAGTAACAGCAATTGATCCAGGATCATGAGTGGCAAACAGAGAAGGCATGTATTGAATGAGCGCCGGGGAAACGATTATGTTTCCACTCCAATTTAAAATCATTGTAAACTTTGCTTGGTTTTAACTTTGCCTTTTTCTGATAGAAAAGAAGTTCTTATAATCGTTTTGCAGAAACATTGTCCAGGACGTTTAGTCAATTTAGGCCAGTCGATAGTTTATGAAATATATTTTAATTCTCTAGTCTTCACTGAGTAGAATAAACATTCAATTTCTCTTTACTTGTCTCGAGGTTTTTAAAATACTAGCTGGAATGTTTTGAAACATAGAATGTATGATGTAATTTGCGAAAAACCAACCGAAATGAAGGCGTGATCAATCATTGCATGGTTGTAATCGTAATTTTGGCAATTGCAAGTTAAGCCCGAAAAAAAAATTCGGCGCTTCAACGGCATTTGAAACCATGGCCTGTGCGTAAGCGCTGCAGTGCTCTGCCATCAAATTACGGGCTGACTTGCAATTTTCTAAAATATTTCCGTTACAGCTGCAATGATCACGTATGCTTTCATACGGTGGCAATTTCCTCTTTGGTGATAGTGACTTTGTAAATGTTAGCCTTTATAGCTTAGTGAATTAAAGTCATCTATATTTTGGTGAAGAGTTCGCTGACCATGAACTTTTTTAATTACGGTTAGTTGATACTCCTAGAAAAACAAAATGATCCAAATAGCGATCGGCAATTTGGTCGATGATGGTGGCGACGACGAAGAAGACAACGATGACGATCACAAATTTTGATAAAATCCGTAAGGCTAGGGATAGGGTTAAAAGTTGTTTTTGATATTTTTTGGGGGGTTATAAGATGTTTTTGATATGTTGACTGATTGACTCAGACGGCTCTGTTAATTTTGATCAAGGGTGGGTAATGCTGCTCCACTCGCTGGTGTTAACCCCTTTTTAAGATCGGCCTAACAATTCGCTTGTACGCATTTATACTCCTGGCCACAGTCGATCACAGCAAGGTTGAAAGGCTATCCTTCGGATAAATCACTGTCCAGTTAAAAACTGTAAACAAATCAAACTATGCTATCCACTGGAAGATGACATATCCGTTGGAAAGCGTTCTTTGTTGTTTCATCTTAAGAACACTAGAGTAACTAAGACCTAACGAAGTTATCATGTGCAAGCGAAAACAGTAAAAGTGAAAACTTTAATGTACACTTTATCATTTTATTTGGAAAATGACATTTACATTAACAAAAATATTTTAAACCTCATGTTCTTTCAATCCTGACAAACAAGTATAAAATTACCCTCTGACGCCCTTACGTTTCTGCTATTCTAACAACAAACTGAATTTACATCTTATAACAATGTACGTCGCCATGATCAACCAGCGACAGATAGGGCACTCATCCTCTTTAGAGAAAGAAGCAATGGATGTTTCTTTCAAGTCAAAATCGTCCTTACATGATTGTAGTTAGTTCCAAGATTGCCACGACCCATGCGAAGCTCTCAAAATTTATTTCTAAATCGCTTAATTTAGAATAAACCAATGGAGCGTCGTCACGTGCCGAGATAGAATTGGGTGTTAAAACTCTGGTCACGTGATTGGCCATTACTATCGCCATGGATTTCAAATCAGTTTTGCAGCATTCACAATGGAACTGAAGTCTAGCTGGAAATTGAAACAGTGCATGACTAAAATAACTGGATTAGAGACTTAGACATTTTCCGGATGTGTATTTGACCTCACGGCATGTGCTCCTTTTCGCGGAGCAGCCGCTGGCCAAATCGACTCAGCCGTGGCTGAATTGTCGTAAGGGTCAGGCCGAGCAGGCACCACTAGCCTGGCTGCAGCTGCTGTTAGTGACGTCAGAAGGGTTCGAGGCTGTGGCTTTCGATTGTTTACAGCCCTCCCAATACGCGCCTGCTTTGTCTGCAGATAACCATAGCTCCGCATAGGAGCATGCGCAAGACGCGTGAAGCTTGCCTGGCGTTGAGGAATAGCGTTTCTATAGTACACCTGTCCAGGTAGACTTGCGGGGTTGGGTGGAGACATAACTATACGCCTTAATGCAGGCATTCGAGCCCGGGAGACTACAAAGTTTGGACGCTGGTATGGGAAATGGGGCTGAATTGCAGCTCTGACCTGGCCAGGCAAACTAGCAGGGGGTGGGTTTGGATAACGATAGTATGGTTGTATTGCAGGTGCCCTGCCGGGGATGAGAGCTCTTGTTTGTTGATGAAACTGATCCCGTTGTGTCTTGAGCTGGCCGTACGCTTTCTCCTGTAAAGGTTCTGAGGACTTGCCTTTGGCAACAAGGGCTCCGTGTGCAGCTGTAAAGTAACTCCCATGTTGATTAGGGCCCATTACTGTCATTGAAGTGTAGAATGGTCCTCCTCGGATGTTAGATCTCTGTGGCGATCCTGCGAGCAAGACACAAAGAGGCACTTGGTTAATTTTTATTAAAATATTTCAAGCAATGGAAAATATTTCTACCCTAGTCTTTAAGTCAGTCTTTAACTTAGCTCTGTTAAATGCCAACGTAGATTTCGGATTTTAATAGTTGTGACCTTTACCTTTTTATCGTTTAAAGAAACATTTTTGATATGTTTGTAAAGGGCTTGAAGACATAATTTTTTTACAAGGCTTCTAAGCCCTGTATTTGAAAATGAGAATGCTGTTTATTTGTTTGCAAGCCACGTCTGGAGTGGTAGATATTCCACAGAGGCAACGCCAACCTTATGTAGCTTTATGTTAAACTCTAAAATACTTTCCTATCGAAGATGAACTTCAAAGAAGGTTGACAACCAGTTGCTTTTTGTTTGTTTCGTTTTGTTTTGTTTGTTTTGTTTGTTTTGCTTTGTTTTGTTTTTTGTTTGTTTGTTTGTTTGTTTTTTTTTTTTGCAGTACATGGAACCACTTTGAGTTATTACGAACAATGCTGTCCGAATGATCAATAAACCCTTTCATTGTTTTGACCCCAACAATTGACATACCAGCCAATAGATGATGGTCAGTTACTAGAGCGGGCTGTGGTCTTAATGTCTGACCTGTGGCGACTCGACTTCGAACTGGAATAGCTGGTGGTCGCCTACGTGACGCAGTATAACCATATGGCGGTGCCAGCTGTCCAGCGAGTAAGTAAGCGTTCGTTGCTTTCTGGTTTTGCATGAAGCGAGTGTAAGGAGAAGTGTTCGTTGAATCTGGTTTGGAAAACGAAAATAGGAGAACTGTTTTGTTTTACTGCACGTGTAATACATGTAATCTGTTCCTATCCAGAGGATCAGATGAGTTACTTTGTGGGTCACTACGCACGAGGGATTTACCGTCCCTCCCCTAGATGGGATAGTACGTCGTCTATCGCTGATTAACCCCATCAGGTTTCTCAACTAGTCCCATGTACCTATTTATAATTAATCTTAGGTAGGGAAAGGTGCTGTGGGACAAAAACACAAGAAAACAACAAAGGAACCCCGGCCAGGCCTGGTCACACTCGAGTTAGTCGATTGCGAATCCTTGTCCGCCATTTAGAATTTTCTTTTAAAAAACCGCTGACCTAACAGCCCGGCAGCAGGATTGCACCCATGATCTGACCCCGGGGGGGGGGGGGGGGGGGG